CATGGAAACATCTCAGGAGACTTTGATTCTGTGTTTCTTTTCAGGGAATTGAGCTTTGGGTGGGATTTGACTCAATATTCTCCTGGAAGTAAACGTTTGTCACCCATCATGTCGTGTTATATTTGTTCCCACGAGCAGTGAGATAATGAGACTAAGTGTTGAGGTAGATCTGACTGAGGCAGATTTGTCCTTAGGGCATAAAGGTGCACCAAACACAAATATCTGGAGTTAATTATTATATCATTTCATGCACAAATGGCATTTTCAGCCAAGCTTTTCCTTGCTGGGGCAGAGTTGAAGCCCTGGCACAACAGGCTGGGGACACCAGTTTGTGACCCATCCAGTTTGTGAGCACAGCAGGTTAAACCAAACAGCTCTGGAATAAGCAAAGAAGCAACTTTTGCAATCAGCCAGGTGACCTCTTTCTCCAGCAACAAGTGTCCTTGGAGCCAGGCACCACAGTTTGGCCGAGGAGCTGCTCTGGCACTGACCTGAGCAGAGAAGTAGGTGCAGCAGTGGTGAGCAGAGGCAGTGTGGGTCTGGCTTGCAAAAGGGGAAAGAAAATAGAAAATGGTATTTATAAATAGAGGAAGGGCCTCAAAGCTGTGATGATTTACGTGCCAGGCTGGAGCACACAGGGAGAGCTGGCTCTGGCTGCCCAAGGGGCATCTGCCTCTTCACCTGCCAAGGACATTCTCTCTTCCTTGACCTTTTCTGAATGATTTAGCTCAGGTTGTAGAGTCTTACTGACCCCACAGAAAGAGAAAAGCTTTGAGGGTGCCACATTTTCCCTCTGAGGCTGGGAGCAGGAGGGGAAGTGTCTCTACCATCCTTCTCCTCCCAGGCTCCAGAGCTGTTTATTTTTATGCTTTGCTGTGGATCCTCATGACTCAGGGAATAAGCTGTTTGTGGTAAGTTTTGCTATGGATCTCTTCCAGCCCCTTTGTTTACAAACTTCCACTTCAGGCCAGAAACATGAGGACAAGGGGAAGTTACTGGAGGTTTTGTCTCTTTTGAAACAGCAGCACCAGCTCTGCCCTGGCAGCAGCAGAGGAGCCTGGAAAGTCTGATGCAGACCAGTCCCTCCAGTTGGCACCCAGCCCTCCTCTCAGGATTTGCAGCAATAATCTGAGCAGAAACATCTGGACCCCTGGAGCAGGAAGGGTCCAGCCATGCCCTGCAGCCACGAGTGGCTCTCAAGCTGCTCCCAAGCCACAGCCACCTCACATGACTAATTGCAGAAGGACTCCTGAGTAACCAGATTTCTGGCCACGGGAGGAACAGGATGAGGCTACTGAGTCACACCAGGACACCTGTCAAAGCCAGCTCCATATCATTCCAGAGTGGAGGACCCCAGGAGAGAAGCACATCTGGAGCTCTGCGGGTGCAGATGTGGTAGTAGGAGCCTTTGGTGTGACTTTGTGCAGCACAAGCTCAGGCAGGTTTTCCATCCCAAGCACAAGGGTGAAGTCACAGCCTTTATTCCTTCCTTGGAACACATGGAGATCTCCACAGCTCCTCCTGGATGTGCTGGGCAGTGTTTCCAGGAGGCTCCTGCCTGTTGTAAGGGGGGGCAGATTTGCCCTGCAAACCTTGACCCATGTTCTCCTCCCCACCCTGCTGCACCCAGTGGTACATCAGTTGTTAGCTTGCCTGCATGCCTTCCTTCTCCAGGGGTAACTATTCCCTGGAAGTGCTGTCCTCTGGGCTGCAGATCAACCCCTCAATGTACAAAGAGCACCGAGGACGAGGGAAGGACAAATGGAACTGCTGCCAGACCTGCTGTTCCTCTTAACCTGCTGTCTGTGTGCTGCACAGAGCAGGCTGAGCCTGCAAATCCCTGCCCCAAACCCCAGAGTCACATGGATCAGCTCTGCACAGCTCCTCTGGGAAGTCTGGGACACACAGAGGGACTGTGTGTGGACACCCAAGCCTGGCAGGATGGGATGGAGGTCTCTGGACACTGTGCACTGTGCAGGAGCTCACATCCCAGCTGTGTCCCAGCCCCACAGAGCTCCCTGCACACACCACCTGCACGTGGGGTGCACTGGGGATGCTCCAGGCACTGTGCTCCTGTCTGATCAGCAGTGCTCGTGAGGGCAGTCCCATCCCAAGGGATGTTTGCACCCAAGTCCCAAAGCTCCAGCATTAGGAATGTCCATGGTGACTCTCCCAAAGCCCCACTGTGAGTCTAGCACAGCAAACTTCTTTCCAACCTCTTTTTGTCTGAACTTTGAGCTGTATCAGCTGCATCTCTGAGCTGTATCAGCTGTAGTAATGCACCTGCCTGGAAAAACTCCTTGGAGATAGCCCAAACCCAACATCTGTACCAGCATTTCCACAGGGATCTCTCCAATTTGCACTTCAGCAGCTTCGTGCTCAACTCCTCAGCCCTCCAGGTGTGCTGTCCCACTGAGGAGGACCTGCTAACAAATCCCTGTTCCCAGGAATGACTGAAGGACCTTCCTGGAGTAGCAGAAAGCACAGGGCTAAGGAACCTGCTTCTTCCTGCACAGGGACAGCTCAAGGTCATGTCCTATCCCAGACAAAGAGCTAAATTCTTGGCAAGCCCTTTGCCTCCCAACTCTTAAACAAGCTTTAACCACCTCACCCTGAGACCTGCAGCTGCTCCTAGGAGAGTCTGTGCTCCAGGTGTGACCCACCTGGAAAGGACCAACCCCTCAGCTTAGGGAGGGAAAAGAAGGTGCAGACCTTACCTCAGGGGACCTCACTGCATTTTGGAAGATGGCATAGGCAATAATCGAGCTGGAACCTATAACGCTGAGAAAACAAAGCACAGGTTGGAACAGGACCGAGTTCTCTTGGAGAAAACAGACTCTGCAGTAGCAGCTCTATAGCATCGCGGGGTTGGGCAGTGTCCTACCTGAGCATGGCCATGGTGAACTGGATCCACTGCAGCGCCGAGTAGACCTGGGGAGAGGGACGGGAGGGAGTTTGGACCCGTGTGCGGGGACGAGGGGACAGCACGGAGAGGGGATAGGGACAGGGACCGGGGGGACAGCACGGAGAGCGGATAGGGACCAGGGGGACAGGGACTGGGACCGGGTGGACAGCACGGAGAGGGGACAGGGACCGGGACCGGGGGGACAGCACGGAGAGGAGACAGGGACAGGGACCGGGGGGATAGCACGGAGAGGGGATAGGGACCGGGACCGGGGGGACAGCACG